TATGTTTACGCGGCGCGATGCAACGCAACGCATAAAAAGACAGTATAATCCGTAATTATGTCCCCACTGGATGCAACAAATGCCTCGTTTATAATGGGTTTTAATGTTTTTGTCTCGTCGCTCCGGGACGCGGTATCACAATATGGTAAGGGACGTAACATTTCCGCCACACGCTTGAGGTATTCGGCCAATCACAACACACTGGATAGCTGGCCAATCAGAGCACACCTCGTTTTTTCAGATCGATGAGCTTTGGACGTCGTTTGGAAAATCGACGCGTTTCAGAAAGGCGGGGCATAGAGGAGAAACAATAATGTACAGTATGTGGAAAATAATGTGTTTTTTTAACCTTAAACCGCATAAACACATTTCATTACACCAAATACACAAAATAATGTTCTTTTTAGCAACATCATATGACCCCTTTAACACTATTTTGTCCTTTCATCTCAACTCTTATTTCAAAAGAGCAAAAATCAAATCTAGTTTTCCACCATGCATCAAATCCCAACAGCTTGTAATGGTAAGAAATTAAGTTTGCGTAAATGTTCAGAATGTGTACCTGATGTACGGCTTGAGCACTCTGGACGTGTAGGGACTCTTGATGGTCTGATCCATGCAGGCATCAGAACCCATTAGCCTGTGCCAGAACGACACTGTGTGCTGATAAAACCCTTTCCTTATGGTCACTGTTGACTGAGGAACAAAACAAGACTTTATTGATTTTCTCAACAGAAGTTACAACACGTACTGAAGCTACATGTTTTCTTCTGGCTCACCTGAAAGCGATCAAGTATTCGAAGGTCCTGGCTGGTGGTTCTGTATTTCTCCTCTTCGCTTGTCCTGTGGCTGGCCAAACCCCCTTGTGCCCCGTACACCCCCCCCACCAGACTGAGCGTAGCGCTCACGGCCTGATCCACATCCAGCAGGGGGAGCCCTCGCTCTCTTTTCGCCTGTCGCACGAGTAGCTTGCGATGCAGTCTTTTGGCCTGTGGCGTGATGGCCAGCGCTTGTGGACACGCCTCTAGCCTGTGGAGCAGCAAACGCTCCTCGTAAAGGCTGATGAACGTGTAGCGCGGGGTGGGCAAAGATACGCAGCCCTCGCCCTTATCTTGAAGAACCTTCCTCCGCTCAATCCCACGCCCCCGTCCTGCTGGCAACAAGCCTTCATCCTGGCCATCGTCTTCCTCACCTTCTCTACCCCGCTCTTCGTCTTCACTCTCCAGTTCTTGTTTGATCAGCTCTGCTGGACGTATCTTTTTCCTGACCATGATGGTGCCAGTAGCCAAAGGCATGCTGGGAGGGGGAATATACTCCATTCCAGGGTCGATAACGCCCTCGGCGTCCAATTCTTCATCGTCTGATGGAAAGTAACACAATGTATACAGCCAATAAACAAGATGCTGTGACAAAAGCCTAACAGCTTTTCTGTTCATTACCAAATATGAATAAACTATCAATATATAAAACTATAAAAATAGGAGTGGTTGGTAGGGTGTTACTAGGTGTAACAAAAGGGGCTTTTGCACTGCGTAGTTCTAAGAACTTAGTTCTAGGAACTAAACAGCAGGGTCGTTTTCCTGGTTACATTCACACCGGCAGCAGGAACTCTGAAGCGTCCAATAGCAATGTCTTTATGCGTGGCATTTACAAACATTTACAACCGGTGAAGGCAGGACACCGTGATCTGAGCTGTTTTTGTTGTGTGTCGTCGGTTTCGTGATAACAGAGATTGAGTGTAAACATTAAATTTACGCGATTAAAAGAGCATGAAAATCTGACTAAATCTCCTATGACAACTTTCAGTGTTACATATCATTGAGGGTGAGAAAAGAACACAACGCTGCAGACAACAGGTAGCTAAATGCTGTTATCGCTGTTTTCCATGTTTGTGGAGTAAATATTTTTACACAACTTTTTAAAAATGCCGGGTAGCCGTTGTTTCGTATGTGTTTGGCCAATCAGCGTACACTTACGTCACTGATAGTTTCTATAGAACTGTTTTAGACCCTACTCTGAAGTAGGAGCTAATTTAGTTCCCCCAAATAGAGTTCCTAGAACTAAAACCATTCCTAGTTCCTATGGTGCAAACACACCAAAAAACGGGAGCTTCCACAATTAGTTCCAGGAAACTATGAAAAGGTTCCTCCGGTGCGAAAGCCCCTAAAGGTGTTCTGGTTGGGTGCAAGGGCTTTACTAGGGAATTATGGGTGGTTACAAGGGCATTTCTAGGGTGCTCTGGGTGGTTGTTAGGATGTTGCTAGGTGGTTGCTAGGCTGCTCTGGGTTGTCATCAATAGGATGTTGCTATGTGGTTGCCAGGGTGTTTTGTGTGGTTGTTAGGGTGTACCGGATGGCCGTTAAATGATGTAACTTTGTGGTTGCTCGAATGTTCCGCATGGTTATTAGAATGTTGCCAGGGTGTTCTGGGTGTTTGTTAGGATGTTGCTGTGTGATTGTTACAGTGTTCTGGATGGTCATCAATAGGATGTTGCTATGTGGTTGCCAGGGTGTTTTGTGTGGTTAGGATGTACTGAATGATCATGTACTGAATGTTCTAATGTGGTTGCTCAAGTGTTTTGAGTGGCTGTTAAAATGTTGCCAGGGTGTTTTGTGTGGTTATTTAAATTCATGTTTATGCATTTGGCAATTGCTTTTAATCAGAGCAACTTTGAATTCACGGTATGCATTTTGTCAGTTTTGAGATGTTAGAATCTTGCCAGGATGTTCCGAGTAGTTTGTACGGATGTAGCTATTTGGTCGCTAGGGTGTTCTGGGTGGTTCTTAGAATTTTGCTATGTGATTGCCATCTGGGGCTAGTTGCATAAACTCTTAACATAGTGGCTTTATGCAACTGACCCCTGGTGTATAGATACAGACCCTCGGGGTAAGTCTATGGCATCTTTTCGCCCATTTTAGCATCTATCAAGTGGAAAGTCTAAGTCTGATTGCCTAGAAAAGTGACCATTAGTAGGTGTTTGGTCAGTTACCAAGTGCAGCATCTCACCGTGGAAAAGAGCCTGAGGGGGCATGACATCTGGGATGAGATCGGCCTCTGACAGCAGACTGGGCGTAGCAGAGTGTGAGGCGGGCGTTCCAGGGGCGGAGAAGTCGGGCGAAGGGGAGGGGGAGGGAGAGGTGAGCGGGGTTCTGTCAGAGGAGCTGAGAGAGGAAAAGTCAATGACTTCACCCTTCTCCAGATACGGCTCTGACCGCCGCACACGATTGCCCAGTTTGACAGGTGTGGACGAGGCACTGTGGTCTAGAAACCCGGCCGCCTCCTTCTGCGCACGCCGGATCTCTTTAGCTTCCTGTGTTCGGGAACGTTTTTCTTTCAGCTGTATGGCGTTCTCCACTGGGTTCCGACTTCCACGCTTCCTCAAACCCTCCACAGTGATTATGGGGTCCAGGGACGGCTTTGACACAGCTGGATAAACAACATGTAGATCCAAAAATGTTATATTTACATTTAAAATTAAGGAAAAATACCGCAGTACAAAAATTATATTTAATCCCTGATACCAATAAGCCAATAGGCCATTTTTAACTTAAATGTAAGAGGCTTCTGGTTTCATCCGCTAACAGTCATTAGGTATACAAAAATAAAATTGCAAACTGTTATTCAATATCATATAATTTTTATGTATTATCATAATCATAAACACACTGGTTTGTATCGCAAATGGTTTTACTGCACTTTGTTATTCTTCTAGTTATTTAACTATAATGGCTAATGAAACTAATATCTCGCACATTCACAGAAAATGGCTTACTTTCACATTGGAAAATAAGGTGAATACTACTATATTTCTATTTCATCTAAATAAATGTAAAATAATCACAGGATTTAAACACTACAGTTTTTTTTATTTTAAGATCTGCTACAAATTACAACTACTACAAATTACATTAATAAAGTAATAATGAATTAATAAAAAAAAGTTTTTAATATTAACTTCACGTACGATACCAATATGGTACTAATATATTTTTCAGCTTTACATTTACAGTCAGCATGAAATTTAAATTCTCCCTTTCTATGTTATTGTGAATGATTCATCCATGATTTTTGACATTTTTAACCTTGTAATTTTAAATCAAAAAGTCCGGCAAAATGACAGACCTCCAATAATATAGTCTGCTTAAACCCTGTCCCTTTCTTACAAATAACTGTTTGTCACAATACGGAAAAAATGATCTGTCGGTACTTCTGTTACGTTGCGACTTCATCATAATTTTTTTTAATATAACCTTTATCAGTTGACCACTATTCAAAACATGCCAAACCTAGGGGGGGCGTTCATTCTAATGTAAAATACTACTACCTTTGGCTTTAAGTGAAGCTGCAGAGCTTTTCTCCCCCTCGGGCCGTAGAGTAGGTGGCCGATTCTGGACTAGCTTCCACCAGCCAGGTTCTCCGAACTCCTGTGCTCCTGAACGGAAAAACGTTGGGCTGCCGACAGACAAACATCCTGCCACGGTGCTCCACCATGTGGACGTCTTCTTCCTGAGAGTGTATAATCATAAGACATACTTATTAACATACTTATTGGCAGCGGCTATTTGCACTAAGTGTAAATAGCGATAGAGGCTTTTTACACCAAGTGCAAATAGCAATAGATTCTATTTACACTTAAGTGTAAATAGCAATTAGATCCTATTTAAACTAAGTGAAAATACCATATTTTCTTAGCGATGGATGCTATTTACAAATAGCAATGGATTCTGTTTACACTATGTTAAAATAGCAGTATTTTTTAGCGATATGCTATATTACTTAATGCAAATAGTGGCAATTATCTACACCTCAGTATTGTAGTACATTATAAAACAGTATGCAATAATAACGTATTGAGTGTACTATTCAAAACATGCCAAACCTAGGGGGGGCGTTCATTCTAATGTAAAATACTACTACCTTTGGCTTTAAGTGAAGCTGCAGAGCTTTTCTCCCCCTCGGGCCGTAGAGTAGGTGGCCGATTCTGGACTAGCTTCCACCAGCCAGGTTCTCCGAACTCCTGTGCTCCTGAACGGAAAAACGTTGGGCTGCCGACAGACAAACATCCTGCCACGGTGCTCCACCATGTGGACGTCTTCTTCCTGAGAGTGTATAATCATAAGACATACTTATTAACATACTTATTGGCAGCGGCTATTTGCACTAAGTGTAAATAGCGATAGAGGCTTTTTACACCAAGTGCAAATAGCAATAGATTCTATTTACACTTAAGTGTAAATAGCAATTAGATCCTATTTAAACTAAGTGAAAATACCATATTTTCTTAGCGATGGATGCTATTTACAAATAGCAATGGATTCTGTTTACACTATGTTAAAATAGCAGTATTTTTTAGCGATATGCTATATTACTTAATGCAAATAGTGGCAATTATCTACACCTCAGTATTGTAGTACATTATAAAACAGTATGCAATAATAACGTATTGAGTGTAAATTATAATTTTAATTCAAATTATTAAATGGATGCCACCTTATTTAGACAATAAAGCCCTCCCTACACCTACCCTAACCCTACCAAACACTTTATTTTCAACTTTTTGATTTATTTCCTTTATTTTTATTGAAAATAAATGCCTTTCTGATGGGATATGAGATTTGAAAGGGAGGGGGAAAAAAGTTTGGCAAAAGGCGAGTTCGAACCTGGGTCGATTGTGTCAAAATGATAGCGGTACGCGCTTTACATCTACGCCACTGGAGCTGATGATTGACAGCTGTCTTTTGTAGTGTTGACTAGTCCAAATACACGTTGGTGGGTGGAGTAAGTGTAAACAGCCTCTGCCAACAAGGTGGACTATTTGCACTTAGTGTAAATAGACACTCTGATACTTATTTGCCTTTTATAATCACTTTATAGTGATTCTAAAGCAAAATATAAGGTTTGTGATACACTTTTGATACTCAGTCTCACCTAGAACCAAGCAGGAATGTCCAGTGCCGACTAATAAATGCACATATATCTTCCTTCCATCTGAAGTAACCTTGTCGTCCGGTGCCCTCTAAAGACAGGTTATACATGGCCAACATCACCACCTATAAGCATAAAATCAAACAATTTAGAGACTCTTTCTTTTTTGCCAGAATACAGAATCACGTGTCATGACTCTTTATTTGGATATTATGAGATTTTTCCATTTTGTAATGCTGTTTGTAAAGCAGATTATCTTCAAGGACCGATGCTGACATTTTCTTTTAGGCAGCTTTGTCTAGCTAACTAAATATAGTTTCATTTCTTTTAATTGTTCCAGATTAAATACCTGCTGCCAGGTCAGCCTCATCCTCTCAAAACTCTCCTTCCTGTCTTCGGCGCAGTCCGAGCAGGTGAACTTGAAAAAGTTGTCTCCTTTCAAATAGCTTGGCTGCTCTCCACGTAGCTGGGCTGAACCATACAAGGAGAAAGAAAAGAAAGCCAGCTCTGAGACTAAGCACGTTTTCAGACCAGTCTTTATTGAGTGAACACATTCATCACAAGTTAGACATCACATCTTAATCTGGTCACATGAGGGCGTATCAGACGTGCCATCCCCTGTCATTGGTCTTCTCACCAGCTGGGATCCACTTGTGGCACTTGTCACAGTAGAACGACATATCCTCGTTCCAGCTTCCTTCTCCGTCTTCCCCGACGTCGCTGTTCAGAGAGTCTCCACTCTGGTCGTGAGACAGATCCACAGACGCCTGGTCCTCTGATTCCACAATGAGGAGAGTTTCTCCCTCCACCTCGCCCTCCTCCAGACCCTCAGAGGCTGACGTGCACATGGTCTCCTCATCCTGTGCCGCAAGTCCTCTCTGGTCCCCACTGTCCATTTTTCAATCTAAGAGATAAGAGGAAGCGATTAGATCCAGGGACAACAAGGACTGGGGCCAGTGTGAATGACTCTCAGCATGCTCTTGCCAATTTAAACCATTCAACCGCAGTAAGATGCGAAAGAGAACTGAATTCAGTATTTTCGCACAGCCTGAGATGTGCTGTGCTACAGTAGAATGCTTCTCTACAGTAAGCCAAAAAGTAAGTCTGGATTCATCGTATTTTAAAAACAGTAAGCAAAAAATACTCAGATAACCAAATACTTCTGTTGAGATTTTGAAGTGTGTATTCGATGGACACTTTAATATCCCATGAGGCCACTGGAGAGGATTCATGAAGGCAGTGAATCAATGCAACTGAGGCTGGTAGGTCACGTGACTGTGACAACATGGCGGATGTAGTACACCTGAATTTCTTTCATACTTCCCATATTCAATTCATACTATATGTGACCCTGGACCACAAAACCAGTCAATAAGGGTCAATTTTTTGAAATTCAGATTTATACATCATCTGAAAGCTGAATAAATAAGCTAATATTTGGCCGAGATACAATCAAGTTTTTTTCTAGGCTTGATTATGTTTATGGGGTGCAGTCTAACATGTGTTCATGCTTCGGTTTTTAAAAAAACACATTCTTTTTCACATAATTTACCTTTATTCTTCACCGCTCTGTCCCTACTCTGATAAATGCGCTGATCATTTCCTGCTTTTATGAAGCCCCTCCCTCAGAAATACACGATGGACTCTGATTGGTTAGCTGGTCCAGTGTGTTGTGATTGGCTCAACCGTCTCTAGTGCGCGTCTAAGCGTCCCGCCCCTCAACATAGCGGCATGTGCTCCGGTTGTATTGTAAACAATGGCGT